GGGGGGGGGTGTTGCCGTGTATATTTATGTCCATATCTTGTATATTATTAGAGGATATATTCTAGGGATAATTAGGATCTTGTGATTAGGTAATTTCCATATTCTTCATGTAATTGTGGTTATATATTTTGGGGCTAATAAGTATTCACGATCATCACGATTTGGGGATGAATCGGTTTTCCCAATATTCTCTTGTCAAATAATATGTTTTCATTTAATTCCACGATCTAAGCTCTATCCATTAATGAAATTAAAAAACAGGGTTTGGTTACTGTCTTGATGAATGTTTAAGCCAACATGGGATAACCAGTTGTACATAACTTCATTCAGAGTGCCTTTATTTTCCTTGGCTGATAATGCCACTAGAGAAACAAAATTTCATTTTTCACACTTATAAATGATTTTTTTTTTCAACATATGTAAACACCATGTGCTATAAAAATTGAAATATTATTTGGTGAAAAGGGAAATTAAAACCTCTAGGAGAAATCTTGATTGTCACAGCACCTACATATCTCGTTTAATTTAACAACACTACTGATAGGAACTTATCTAATTGTGTGTTTACAAATAACTAAATTAGTGCGTGAATTCACACAAATTTTTTTTACGACTTCAATCATTGGTTAAGGCACACAAATGTGGAAAGTTCAACCAAAACTGAAAGAATCGAACAAACACGATTGAAACAAAATTTTGGTTTGATTTGGTTTTGGTTTTATATTTACAATACCACCGAATTATATAAAACTATTAGTTTTTATATATTTTTTTATTTAAAGTAATATATAAAAATAAATAAAAAATATAAATTTATTTTTATATTATAAATTATAACTAATTTCAGTTATTTTTGTTTTAACATTTAGGTAACGAACGATTAGCAATCCTAATCGTGATTATAACGAACGATGAGCAATCCTAATCAAGATTATCATATTCTTCTTCTTCTTATTTATTTATTTATTAGTACAACGCCCGTGTATTACACGGGTGTTTGCTAATTTTTTTCTTAAAATCTAAAGTTAATGAGAAAAAGTAATTGAAAATTTAAATACCTTTTATAAAAATATATATATTATTATATATTTAGTATGACAATTTTTATTTGTACGACTTACATGTGTTATATTATCATATTTTTTTTCACTTACAAAATATAACTACATTGAACATAAATATATCAATTAATAAATAATTTTATTTTTCTATAAATTATTATTTTTTATTATTATAAAGATAAATATAATTTATTTATTTTATATATACAATATGGATGTCAAATCAAAGATCATCAAAAGTTGATTAATTTGATATATTATATACGTAAAACCGATAAGAAATACAAAAGTTATCAAATTTTAAAATAAATTTACAATTCAATAGCTAATTGTGAAAGCAAATTAAAAGTCAGGGATACATTAGTCATTTAGTGTCTCACTATGTAAAATTACAAAAAATTAAAGGGTTTATTAGTAAAAGTGATATTAAAATATCTAAGTTAACTAAATAATATTTATGGAATGTCCAAACCTAAATTATTAATTAATTATTAATATATCAATATTATTTGTCCAAACCTAACTACGAAGCATGATTCTTCGCCAAGTAGGATTCCGAAGCACCAGAAGCAGCCACGTAAACTCAGCGCATTCAGAAATTATATATGGGGAGGATTTTTTCAAGTTAGGACTTAGGACCATGTAGATGTAGTATATTGGTGGACGATGGTGACCGGGCTGGGCCCATCACAAAAGTATATGGTCCATTTTGTTGGTCCACTAAAGTACTTATCAAGAATGAAGAAAAAAAAAAAAAA